ACACTTTGTAGAGGCTGGGTAAGCCCCAGGTGAGTCTACCTACCCAGGGTCGCCACACGATCAATGAAACAGAATAAATAATTTTTCTGCCATGAGCCGGGATTCGAACCTGCACCTATTAATAACATTTTATATAGCATTACAAGCTCAGTACCCCACCACTGAGCTACCTCACTCCCTTTATACAAACACACATAAATAAATAAATTTAATAAAAACATTAACCACATTCGCTTTAATTTTTATACTATTTATAAGTTTATTTTGTAATATTCGCATTTATCTTTTAAATAGGAACTTAAATTTCTAACAATATAATTTTTTATTTATTTAATATATTTTACATACCTATTACTTTTCATTATAATTTCTATAACATGAGTAGTAGTGTATTTCATTTTTGTATTAGGAGTGAATATTTTTTTTTACCAATATTTTTAAATACTTTTGATAATCTAATGTTTTTGCCAGAGATAATATTTATTTTTCTGTACACAGCTGAAATCGTAATGGGACATTTTCAGGGAATAAAATTATTTTTTCTATTATTTTATTTATATGTTTCAGGAAGTTATTTTAGAGCATATTTATTCGTAATTCTACTTTTAGCAATTCGTCAAACTCTATCTATGTTTGCTTAAAGTGTTACGAGTTTGATTTTTTCATGAGTTTGAGATCGAAGAGACATTTTCAAACTAGGGTTTCTAAATATAAATATAATCCCAGGTGCTATCAAAAATAGATCGCTGTACTATTTCACCTTTAGGATTCTGGAATGTAGGTGGACCATATTAGTGACAAAATCATTCGAGAAAATGGAGCGTGAAAACATCGAAAGTGACATTGTGGTCTGACATGGATCTAGATCTTGAGGTATTTTTATTGTTTATGCCTGATTATGGCTTCTTACGTAATGTTGTATAGGATTGTAATCGTGCTATCTTACTTCGCAATGTTACAGGCCGCGCATGTTACTTAGTACTGTAACAATAAAAGGTAATGAACATACCAAAGCGTATTGATTCTCAAAACCATTTAATTTGGTGTGTTTACTCAAAAAATAATCTCATATCCAATAATTGATTATTTTCTAAAAAGTATTTAGGCGATTCTTAAGATGGATATGTCTCATGTGGTACTTGAAAATTAAACTTTTGGACGATTATTATATTTTATTAAATTCCTAGCAAATGACAAAGCTCTTCTCACAAAGATTCTTAAGATCTTGCCAAGCTTGGATACCGAGGTCAAGGGTGAGGCTTAGAAACTCAGAGAAAGTTTAAGAATTAATCGATTCCGACACATTGCAGAAAGTTTTTTTTCTCCATACTGTATATTATAGGAATTTTTTTTTATAATTTGGTGGAATCCAATTATAATTTAATAAAACTAATTTTGAGTACAACTCCTAATGAATAGAGAATAAGCTATTGGTACTTTTGGCTAGATCTATTCCAGCGATACTAAAAAAAAATACTTAGAATAATTTTTTTTTTAAATCAGTGGTTAATTTAATATGATCAAGATTTTAAGTTTGTTAAATAGACCAACTGATTATATTTGTATATAAAGCTAGAGCATAATGAACGATGGATATGCATACTTAAATGAATGACTGACATTTTATTTATTTATTTATTGAAAAATTTTATTGTATTAATTTATATTGAATTGTATTTAGTTCTTTTTATATATACACTTATTTTTTTTATTGTATAATTTTGATCATTTTAATACTAGTAGAATATAAGAGAGATGTACAAAGAGAGAGAAGGAAGAGAAAAGGATATTAAATGTAAAAAAAAAAAAATGCATGAACAAGAATCATAAAAATCTATATATATTTATTATACTAATATATATTCAACTAGTTCTGTATATTTATATATAAGTTTTATTGATTGTCTAAGAATTATATAGTACCTAGGAACCCAATATAATTGGACAGCATGCTTTTATATAAGAATACTGTTTCTCTTTCAATGTCTAATATTAAATTATAGCATGACTTCTTTGTAGTTAGTATAATTGTAAAATCTATTACTATGTCAAAAAATGTTTTATTTCAGCTGCGCGTAAAGAATGAACCTACTGATTTTTTATAGGTAATCTATCAACCAAGTGCAGATATCCAATCAAATATTAATAAACGAACTAAAATGACATGTTTAAAATAATATCAGCTTATCTAAAACCAGCGATTAAAATATTAAGAAAATGTTTGTAATCGAATCCTGCCATATCACCACGAAAACAAGCTGTAATATCAATGTAACAAGTTAAGAATCACAACTTCAACTATAAGATTTTATGTATATTTATGTTAAATAAATAGCCAATTCATAAAAAATATGAAGATATTATTGAAAATAATCTCACGGGTCTTCTAAGTATATATTTATTCCTTTATGAGCTTGTAAATATTTATATTTTAAAAAACCCGCAATTGCTTTACAAATTCCATAAATTCCTTCACCCTATATATTTTCTTATCATCAGTTTCTACCTTACTGATAGACACTTCAAAGTAAATCACAATAATACCTATTCATCCCCATTTTATCAATCTGCCGGTGTTTCTCAAGGTAGTATCCTTGGTCCTATCCTTTACACATTTTATACAGCTGATATCAAAACCTATCCTAACACTGTCATCACTACGTATGCTTATGACACATGTATCCTGTCAGTTATAACGATTTTAATAATAATCCCAAACTCTTCAATCACACATCATAAACTTTGAAGAATGGTGTCAAAACTGGAGGATTAAAATAAATTCCAATAAATCCCATCAAATCACCTTTATACCTTCGTCGTAAGCCAATGACTGGCTGTCCTAGAGTATCCTTTAATAACACCCCACTTATCCCTGTAGAACAAATCCCATACCTAGGACTCCATCTGGACAAAGGTCTCACTTGGAATCCTAATACAAGACTGAAACGACAAGAAAATGCTTGACGTTTCCACTTACTCCAACACTTACTGGACAAACGCTCTAAACTTGCAATTAATTACAAACGACTCATATACAGGACTATAATAAGACCTATTTGGGCATATGGAGTTGAGCTGGCGGCTCTACTAAACAATCAAATTCTTCTCGTATCCAATCCTCACATCCAAAATTCTTCGTAAAATCCTCAATGCTCCGTACTTTGTCACAAATAAAATAATCCATAAAGACCTTAATATTCCATATGTTTCCAATTTGGCCCAATCCAATGGCCCAATACCTATCCTTCCATAATAAACTTCATGACCATCCGAATCCTCTTGTTTCTAACCTTGATTCCTCTTCGATTCCTGATAACTCTCCGAGGCGTCTGAAAAGAAGATGACCTCGTATATCTCCTCATGTAGACTTATTATTAGAGTACTACCAATGGGCAGTTCCTCAACAAGCGTTTTCATGTGATTATATTCCTGTGTACACATTTACTTTATTTATACTAATACAGTTGTATTTTTTTCTTTTAAATCTAAAAGGTCATTTCTTAAATCCAAAATAACTTGGATGCTTGGGACTTTTTTTCGGTTCTATTATACGAAAGCGAATCCCTGGAAAATAAATTATAAAATGGAAGACAACTCGGAGAGAGCTGTGGGTTCTCTTCCTTATTGTCTAGAATCGCCCCACTCCTGCTCAAGATAAAAACTAATACAAACAATTAATACCCAGGTAATAATTAATGATTACCTATCTTAAACAACATGACCTGTTCCAAAACAACCCATAAAGGTTCCTGTGTTCAGATAATTAGTATGGTCTTATATTTTCTTGATAGAGTTTCACATAAAGGTTATGTGGACAAGTATATACGCTCAAACCATGAGGTTTACCTCCTTACTCAATGAAGTGCCCACTTTTCTGAGATTGGGTGTGTATCTTGAACCCGAATTCGATACACACGAGATATATCATTAAAAAATGTCTTCTCTTAGGTGGACTCTAACTCGTACCAAGAAGTTATCAATCTAGCGCTTTATCAACTGACGAGGAAATGCGAAGTCAGTGGCATTCGTTCTAATTGGCTCCAGAAACAGAGAAAATTTTTTTTTATATACTTTCAAATAAAATTTATGATATTTATGTGTACCTCTGTTTTGACCGGATTTTTCAATCGATTTTTTTTTTTTGTTCAGAATAAAAACTGCTTTCAGTTAAGTAGGTCACATAAATTTTTATTATCACAGCCAATATTTTTTTCTAATTCTAACCAAAAAAATTAAATCAATTGGTTAGGTACGAATAAAAATACCAGTTTCCAATATATTTAATAAAATATATATATAAAAAAAATACAACTGCCACATTAATCGTGCAACTTGTAATAAATCATTAATTGAATTTTTGCCGTTTTTACTGAATTCACAAAATATCTCTTTGTTGAAATGAGTCAAATAACTTTTTTAAATGAGTTATTTCTTGATAAATTCAAAATTTTCAGTGAACGGATCCTGAAATTTTGTTTTTAATCGGAAAGTACCTCTCGCCAAAGACCGCTAAGGTCTTACTGTAATCAAAATGTTCTTTGAACCCTCAACTAATGATGAATACAAAAATCAGTTCCGATGATTTGAGATTTTGGTATTTATCTGGTAAATTCAGTCAAGAAAGCAATACCAAAAACAAAGAAGAAAAATTCCTACCTGTATCTAAATATACTTATGTCTAATATAATATAATTTATAATAGAAAACTGGAGGAAAAGTATGGAAAATACTTAAAGAAAATGTGAAGGAAAAGATAGAAGAGAAATTCAAACAATTATCCTACTCGTTTTATCATCCCTTTTTACCATTTTATTTTCATTTAGTTGTAGGTTGATTTGTTCTTTCAACTTTGCCGTTTCTATGCCTTTTCCGACAACTGTGTGGCATGACGTGTAACCAATATTTTTCGATGTAGTATCACGAAAGTGCTATTCCACTCACTATACTTCACCATAATAACTTTATACTAACTTGTAAACAATTTAAGTTTAAAAACCTACCTTAACTTGTCCCCTCTTCATATTAACCTGTGCATTGAGATCTCTCAAATAATCCACCGGTCCAGAAGTGTCTTGCCAAGCTTCTTTACTGAAAAAACAAAACTTTGAATGACTTTTTAGTATTTATTAACATTGTAAAAATATATAATATTTAATACATAATATATAATTCTAATTGCTCAAGACAGACTACCCTTACCCGTGGGTGATAGCCGCGTTGGTCACATCGCAGGTTGGAAGGTGAGAAGACTTCTTGAAGGACCTCCTCCTCGCCATCAGGGGTACCAACTCAATGCCTCCTGTCAGCGCTTCCTGTAATATTTATTTACAATAAATATTGAGTATACGTAATAATCATTATCTTCTGAGTTATGATTAAAATATAACAGCCTGGAATTGATCAGGGAAAGCTACAGTCAGTGCATCACCGATTTCCACCAATTTTTTTCAGTAAAACTAGATGAAATATATTGGACACATGTTCCGTCGTTCGTTTCAATGGGTCTAGATATGCACATATTTATTAAAAATATGCCTATGAAAATATATGTTTGTGCTCATAACCGAAAGTATGTAGGAAATTTAAGACAATAGGAAATTAGATTAGATTAATTAAGTAGGTGATGTCCCTCATCACTTGGATTTGAGGATAGAAAGACAAGCACGTTCCTAAGACATACTAAACTCGTTCCTAAGAAATTTTCCTGTGCTGAGCACAAACCTCCCACATAAATACACTATGTACTACATAACGTTATCGTAATTTGAATTATCAAATTGAAGCAGTAAATTCGCATTACTTAATTAATTATTTTTGTCTGATTGGAAATACTTTATACTTCATATTAAATCTGTAAAGCCTATAAAATAAAGTACTATTTCTTTTCTGTTGAAACCGTTTACCACTAGCGGATCCAGGATTTCATTTTGGGGGGGGGGCTTCAGCCCGAAAGGATTTTTTTTCATAAATATAACGATAACTACTATAAAAAAAAAAGAAAGAAACCATCTAGATATATGAAATAGTGTTTATGTGATTTTTGAAGTCCTATTAAATGTATTTACACGAAAAATAATTCTTTAAGAGATATTTTAAAAATATTTTTTGCCATAAAACATGGTTACATTTTACCATTTTGGGGGGGCTTCAGCCTGAAAGCCTCCCCCCCTCTCCCGTAGATCCTCCTGTGCCGTTTACCAAATGAACCAAACTTTTTTAAAAAAATAGTGATCATTCTTCTGTTCTCTTCTCTACTCCTTTAATATTGTTCCGTCTCAGATAAAGGTACATCGTGGAATACCCTGCCGCAAAAAGGTGATCTCTTTGGACCACATCACCTAGGAGGAGGTCACGATCCGCGGTCCCAGGGAAAGGGGCAGAATCCACTTTCCACTTGTTACAACGACACAGCGTCACCAATCGGATCCATTACAGTTCGGCAACCATCTTCCATAAGGTTGAGGTCGCCAAAGATATTATTTCCTATTTCCTCACTATCCAATCGAGTATTCAAAGTGGGGGTGCGTGTATAGTTAGAATAGAAACAATTGATCGAGGATATCAGATTGGAACAATAGGTCTTTGCTTGAATTGCCTCCAATCTTCATATTTGGTTTTGGTACAGAAGTGATCAAAAGAACAAATAAAAAATATTTCAATGCCATAATTTTTGACAGCTTATTGTGATATGGCTGTTACTAGAACTTCAAACATTTCTATTTGGATATTTTGATTAAAATAAAAAGTTAAAATAATTACATATTAAAATAATCTTAAAGAAATAAAAAGGATCTGAATTGACAGATATGCTAACCTTTAAATATGATAAATAGGTATAGTAATAGTTAATAATATATAATAATAAGATTTACCTCTGGCGTAGAATAGCTCTCATGAGCTTTATCATTGATCATGAGCTGCTTCGGGACTTTGCCTTTTTGGTCTATTTGGTCTTCAAGTCTGCGGAAAGCCTTCTCTCCAGTCCACCCCTTTGAAATGAAATAAACAAAACAAAAAATATTATTAAAAAAAAATTAAAGAATCTGTACCTGGATTTAAATGAGGATTTGTATTAATTAGATGTTTGATGAGTTAACTATTAACAATTTCCAACTATTTTAATATATAATAGAGGGATTACCGAACCCGAAGGTTCGATGCCTATACCACCAATCACCGTCTATATATTTCCATCCACTGATCCTCGTCCAAACCCAATTCCGCAAGATGAGCTTGAATGCAATCCTCCAACCTTCACATCGGTCTACCCCATTGACGCTTACCAGTCGACACAGCGTCATACTATATATTAACCTTTTAGGAATTCGTTTGCTACTAAGTCCAACAAAAATCGCAAAACGTCCAAAATAGTTCATTTTATTGGCCGTAAAGCTATCACCTCAATTTTTTTTTTTGCTGTTACGATTCATTCAATTCGGCGTTCTTAATTATCTAATTATTTTTTATATATATTATATTTATTTATATTTACCAATATTATTTTGTCGCCAACATATTTAATAAATTATTAAAACTGCTTATTAGTCCTCTGTAAACTGCTTATCAGGATTCCACGGAAATCCTTTTTCTTTTTTTCAGGCACGAATAAGTATAATTGGGAATTGATTGAACAGCAATATTAGAAATTATTGGGTATCAATATTGGAAATTCAATAAAAAATATGCTATCTTCCTGTATACTTTTTATACAGTGCAATCGGTTTCGGTCTTTCATCAGGCTACATAATATAAAATAATAATATTAATAAAAACAATAAAAAAGTTTACTAAACAATTTTTTTTTCTCGAAACAATCTAATAATGATTTAATAAAATTAATTTTAAAAAATAGCAATTAAATATCCAATTTTAATAAATTATTAAATAAAAACTGGTAATAACCTAACTTACAATAGTCCTCTCCTTGTCAAATGAGAACTAAAACTGGAGAATATTATATTTTATTTTTTTAGTCCCCATTTGACAAACAGGAGAGGAGGACCGCCATAAGTTAGGTGATTACCACTTTTTCTAGATAATGAAAGACTTAAACAACATATATGACAAGTTTATAACTAATGATCCATTGCAGATTTATTATTATTTTTAATTTTTACTTATTTACTTTATTTCATTTAATTTTTTTTATTTAAAAAGATCATTGGTATATTAATTTCAATTCATTTATTGATTTTATTGCTATTTTTTAAAAGTTTATTTATTCATCTATTCTATCTTATTATCTATAAGTGTCTATTGTTATTTTTATTTATTTATTTTATTCTATCAATCCTTTTATTTATCTTTTTTTTAATTGTTTGTACCAACCATCCAAATCGTATAAAAGTAGTGTTATTTAGTTGATCGGGCGCTGATGACCTGGCTGTTTTTCGCCTAGACATCGAAACAAACAAACAAACAAAACGGTTTTTAAGGTTGTTTTGTATAATTTGTTTTTAATTTTATTATTCTACATTATCTAATGAAGGTATGATTAAAGACTGAAACCGGTTAAGCGAGAGAAAAAAATAAAAAATTATACAGGAAGACGTCTTGTTTATTCAACTTAAATTCCATTCCTGTAGCATCAAGCCTCAATTCAAAAATTATCAATATTGTATTGGGTAGCAACATTTACAATATTTAGAGTACTTGGCAACGAATAAGCATAAAAATGGAGGGGAAAAAAATTATTTTTTTACGTATTGACATAACTTGGGCTTTTATTTTTCCACCATATATTTATTTATACTAAAATTTCTATTTTCATGAAAACGTTCCGGCCGTTATTCAGTCACCCCCTGATTTTTTTTTTTTTTTTTTTTTTTTTTTTTTTAAACATGATTACCATAAATTATTAATTATTCAACATAATAAGGCGGACGTAAATCTTATTAACAAGAAAGTTTACAAAAGACAGAATTACTCCCACAATTTTTTAATTAAGCAAAAAAAAACTCTTTTTAAATAAATTATTAAATTATTGTGATTCATAGTAATTTAAATATATCTTTTTCGTGAAAATTGTTTTTACCAAAATGAATGAAAACGAAAGTAATGTCCATATATAACAGCTGAATTTATAATGTATGTATGTATATATATAAAAATTATATGAACATGTTAGTTCATATATACATATATAATTTTTAGGTCTGTTGCATTTAGAATATTTTAAAATGGTATTAAAGCGGAAACGTCATATAATATGGATGAGATAAAAAAATAAATTAAAAAAATCTTTGAAAAGTATTTTTTATTATCTCTTTAAAACATAATCGATATTGATTAAATGTAATAATTGAATCATAATCCAATTGAAGTAAAAAAAAAAAAAAAAACGTAGAAAGTTTTTTATGGTATAGAAACATATATTTTTAAAGTATCTGTAGTCCAGTTGGAGAGTGGTAAAAAATAAAATCGAAATTAAACAGTATTTTATGAAAAATAAAATTTAGCGTAGTTAAGCAGGTTAACATTGGTGTTAATAAAGACAAACTCTACTTCTATTTAAAGCAAATTTAGTCTAATTTACTAAGACATAATAATTAATTATGGAAATCAATTTTATTTATAGTTATCGCTTCATATTCAACAAAAAATTTCACTTAAAAAAAATTAAATTTGATGTTTATCGGCAGAAAATAGGACAATCTTTTTTATAAACTTTTTTGTAGTTCTTATGTCTATTTATGTCTAAAAACTTAGTTGAATATTTTGTTTTAGCTTCAGGATACCATAGATACTATTAAAGTAAACTAGGAGATAATATGTTTTAATTAGACGGGATTTAAATATTATAGCAGAACGGACCAACTACACTGAACATAATTTGAGTAAAATCAAGGAAAAACTAATGGCGTTGAAAAATCTATAAGTTTATTATCGATTTTCAGAAAACTAATTTTGTTTTCTAACCACCCAGAAATATTCCTGTTATATCAAAAGAATGAACAAAAATTAACTTTATTGAATATTGAATCTTTTTTTTTCTTTTCTTTTTATAAAAACGTCGCATTCTATTTCTTGAATTTCCAGCTTTTCTGCGATTTATCAAACCGTGGTTTATATAAACTTGTTGTTACCTCTTGAGGTCTGGTATAGTGTTGCCCGAAATCGGTCTTGGTCTTACACTTCGCAAGACCAAGACCAAGGCCGCTTAACTGTTGCAAGACCAAGACCAGAACTGGTAAAAAAAATAGATTTTTTGAATAAAAATTAAGGCAAAATAGTTACTAGTACTTAGCAATCTTAGTTACTATATGTAAATAATTGGTATAACCAATATACTTTTGCATTTAACTCCTTTAATTTTTCATTCGGGCTTAGTTAGATTTCTCCTATCTAGAAAATTACAGTAATATCAGTATAGTTATAAGCTAATAAGTAACTGCAAGACTTTTGCGAGACTCTTGCGCAAGACTAAGACTCGTCTCGGTCTCACACTTCGGCAACACTAGTCTGTTATCATATCTTTACTATTTTCCTTTACTCACGGGACACCATACTAACTAATATCACATATTTTTTTTTTTTTTTATGGATTCATTATATACTAATTATTATATGTTTCTATATCCATAAGGATGGTACTTACCAAAGAGTGAAGAAAGTTCATCCCAACTTTTGCTGGATGCCTCCACTGATGTCCACCTGGTCCTGTTCTCCCGAAGTCTGTAGTCATTCCTTTCTGCCATGTCAGGGTGAAAACAATTTAAATTAGGCTAAACAGTTTAACGTTTAAAGTTCAAAGTTTGACCAACTTTTACTAAAGCATCCCCTTCATAAAAAGTTTAAGCGTGGTAAAGTTAATCAGGTCGGTTGCGTCAGTTTCGGAAATAACTTTTTATCTGATGTAGCGCATTACTGCAGCAATAGCATATAACAAATACAAGAATTTTCACCAATTTAGCAAGAGGTTTGTCAATAAATTAAAATTGTTTGGTCATTCATTGATAATTTATTGAATATTTACTATCACATTTTGAAAAAAAATACAAATATCTCCAGAAATCTAATAAGTATAAAAATTTATTATTTTAAATCTTAAAAAATAACAAACATGAAAATCAAGATTGCTTCAATCAAACTAATTTAACGAATAAGCAGGTGCAAAAAACTAATATGTTAAATATATTAATTCAATTAAATTTTATATATATACACATTGTTATCCGTTTCTCTGGATGTTAAGAGCTATTCAGAAATGTCAGTAATAGTAACAAATTATAATTTACAGAACGTCATGATTCATGAGTATGATTACCGTGATCAAAGAGATAACGTATTTGCAGAAAATCATTTCCTATTTTTTTTTTTTATTTAGCACGCCTGATCTTATGAGTGAATGAAACATATTCACGAATATATAAGATGATATTAGAAAAATATCGATTTATTTACTTAAAACATTTTTACTCATTAGATATATCAGGTTTTCTTGTCATGGAAAATTTCTTAGTCTACAATAAATAAATAAATGTTGCCATAGGATACTTCTAATATTTTTTTGTGATATTTTTTAATATTTTTAATTTATTAATTTCCCATGCGGGTAAATATACACTTGGCCAACATCACTTCTTTACCTATGAATTATATTTAGTAAATACCTATACATCTAATTTTGTATTTATTTTTCTGAATTTCATCTTTAAATATCAATACGCATATTATTAAAAAATTTACAGAAATACCACCATTATTCCATCTAACATCTTATCGTTGAATATTTTTGAGATAAAATAAAGTTTCAAATTTTTAGAAAAATCTAAACGATATTTACATCAACGTATGTAATTTAAAATTTCGAACAATAAGGGCAAAACAACCGAAGTTGGAAGGAAATCTAAGTGTAAATAAAAAAACACATAAAAAAAAAACGAATGTATCTTTAAAACTATTGATTATCATAAATCAGATCGTGATTTTTTCTTATGTGATCTAGGAATTCAATATGAAATTAATCTGTATACAGAGTGTTTCAGGATTAAGTCGCCTAACTGAAAATATTAATTAAGTACTTCAAAACAAGAAAAAAAATCTCTATGAAGGTCTGTCCTCAAACTCTTTGTTTAGGAGATATTCACACCTAAAGATTTTCATTGTTATGAATTATTTACGTTATATTAATTAAATAAAATTTATTTATTTGTTCCAACTACTCTATTAATTAAATATAAACATTAAATTCATATTAAATATTGTTCAAAGTGATTTCCTTGAGCATTAAGACAGGCTCGGCATTTTCTTCAACAGCAGCAATGGCAGAACGGCACTGGATATGTGTTATTGTTCGGACTTGTTTGGTAATCTTCTATTCGGAAATCGCCTGGCATATTCACGACAGGCAGTATTAGCAGTACCATTGCAAAGACCGTATACAAACACCATATCGGCATATTCACTATTAATATAAATGGAAGGCATAATGATGAGTACTCTGCGAAAGCCTCTTACAAACTGATAAATGTTATTTATCAAATAGAATTAATCCTTATGTTGCCAATAGTTATGCCAATATAGTTAGGGGTAAAAGACCAAATTAGTATTATATCTAATACATCTCCTAAACAAAGCGTTTGCGGACATACCTTCACTTTGAACAACATTTAATATGAATGTTAATGTTTACATTTAATTAATAAAGTAGTTAGAACAAATAAATAGGTTTTAATTATTTCATATAACGTTAATAATTCGTATCAACGAAAATATTTATGTATGAATATCTCCTAAACAAAGCGTTTGCGGACATACCTTCAGAGAAACTTTTTCCTTGTTTTGACGTCCTTAGTTCATTTTTGCAGTTTGGCCACTTAACCCTGACACACCCTGTATATTCCTATATACGAGCCTGTTTGTCAATAAAAAAGAGTATAGAAAATATTAGATGCAATGAAAAAATATAAATTAAAAAAAGTAAAAAGAGAAAACATGCCATAAAAGTAAAAATAATTAACTGCTCACTAAGTGCTTTCTAATAAAAAATATCATTGAAATTGCTTCCTACTACATGTTTCTTAAGTCAATTAAACAATTTCTTTTTTAAAACTAGTCGAAACTGTGGAATGAAGTTTAGATTCCATGCACAATAACTTCTATTCTAGAAGTTAAGAAATCGTCCATGTTGTGTATATTTCTACATAAAAAAGTTTTTAATTATTTTATATTTAAATCTAATTTTTAATTGGAATTCCCTATTTCTTTTAAGCATTTTCTTTTTCTTTTAATAATTTTCTGTAAATTGTCAAAAATCATCACAAATCTCATTTGTTTTAATTTTTTTTTATTTTATTGGATAGTACAATCTTCCACATTGAAGTGAATAAGTATCAAGGCTAAATGTGCCCATTCATACCATGAATACATTTAATACGGAAATAAAGTAGTAATTAATAATAAAAATAAATGAATTAAAAAATATATAAATAAAATAAATAAAATAAATCTTCTTCCATCCATCATTATCAAACCTATGCATTCTTGTCATTAAAAAATAAAAAAAATCGTTGGAGGGGCTGTACTAAATGTTTCGTCTCTGACTATCGCTCTCTTAATGTTACGGCCTGGATTATTCCAGTTTATGGACTGGTATCCAAAAGAGCACGCAAGGAAGAGAGAACGCTTACCAACATGTTGGGACAAGAAGTTGAAGAAATCTTGAGGAGAAGCAGCCTGGAAGAGAGTAGCATTGGATAGGAAGGAGTGGAAACGGATGGGACAGGTTCATTACTTAAGTCTGGTTGCAAAGAGTGGTAGAACAATCTAACTCTAAACCTCAACTAAAGAGTTGATTTTGTACATATTACCAAACTAGGTATACACATATACCAATATAAAATTAAAAACCGCGGCTGGAAGAGAGGTCACAACAAGGAGCTTGATACTGAATTCTTCGATACTCCAGTAGTGAATTTCGCCAACCTAAACTGACTGGATGGATTCTCTAAAAATAATTATGGAAGATCGTATACAGTGTCTGTCGTCTAATTTAACGTAAGTATAGACGATTTCGCTTCATTGCAACTTGATTGTTAGTTTTATTTATTTGCTCCTATCAAAATATAAATGGAAAATCTATGAGTTGAGTGGTATAAAATAGCCTAAATAATAATATAAATATTGATACATTCTTAGAAATAATATGATACGATCTAAAGCGTGAGTTGTGCAGCATTACATTTAGTATGGCGTATTAAAGGTATTTTTGCTGCAGTTCTGCAAACTGCATAGGTTGGGATGCAGCTAGCGAGAGCGGACACCGGAGCTCACCTGAACCTCTTGCTGCAGCCGCCTCCTCCACTCCTCTGCACGCCGCTGTTGCTTCTCAGCCATCTGCCGCTCTGCGCAGAACAACATCGATTTCACTTTCATTCTCATTCACCTCTGAGGGCTATTTCTAGGAGAAAACTCTTTAATTGGTTACCCTAGTTGTCCGAAAGTTGGAATTCACTTTTTAATTTGTTTTTTCCTTCATCACAAACCCTGAATTTCTCGATCTTATCAACCAAATTAACGACGAAGGCCGTTTTACTGTTGGGAGTCGAGATATAATGCAAATTTCTCATCGGCTACTTCACTTGTTGCTTTAATAAGTCAGTAAAAATAAAATAAATTTTTATTAGTGTTGAATATATATATATATATATATATATATATATATATATATATATATATATATATATATATATATATATATATATCCATTTCATGAATGAAAATTCAAAGTAAACATGATTGAAGAGGAAGGAGATGGTCCGGGGTGGCGGTCATAAAAAGACTAAAATAGTAAAAAAAAAAAACTATTTCATTTCAACCCGATGTTTCGACCTGACTTTGCAAGTCTTCTTCAGGGCTAGAACAAACATTTTTTAAATTTTTTTATTTATTTTTTTTCTCTCATTTTCTTCACACTCCCTTCACTAGCGGATCCAGGATTTAATTTTGGGGACTGGCTTCATTTTTTCATAAAAATTACGATAATTACTTTGGAAAAAAAGACAGAAACTAACTATCTATATGAAATGGTGTTTAAATGATTCCTTAAGTTCTTTTAAATGTAATTACATGAACAATAATACTTTAAGAGATAATAGTTTAAATATATTTTTCCATAAAACATGGTTATATTTTACCATTTTGGGGAGAGGGCTTCAGCTCGATAGCCCTCTCCCCCTCCCCATAAATCCGCCCGTGCTTCATGTCCATTATTCTTTATTGTTTTTCCTTTTTCTTTCAATATTTCCTTATGATCTTTAGTATTATCCGTACATATATTATTACAGTAAGGCTCCTACGGAACTATCGGATCCTGCGTTTTTAAGCCCAAAAATGAGCTATTTTCGAGATAACGCAAGGCATAGGGTTCGCATCCACACAACCTTACATTAATTGTGGTACTGTCATTGAATACATGTCTCATTTCGTCGACTTGAGGTCTCTATGATCGAGAGAGGAGGAGTTCATTTTATTTATCGATGGTGTTTTTGATCGGCAAGCCATATCATCAGTAATTTTTCACAAAATTTCAAGATTGAGCCACCAATTTTGAAGGCTTCCTTCTCCTCCAAGGCGGGATAAATAGTCCAATCACCCCGAAAATTCAGGCAAACAAGTTATGAAAGAAAACAAACTTTATTTGGGAATAACTAAAAAAATACAAAAATTTCCCCTTGGTTATGCCCATGATTGTATAAAAGATTACTAAATTCCCTACCAAATGAAAAAAAAAATCATCGAAATCGGACAATTTTTAGCAAAGATACAGCTTACTGAAATTTATAAACTATTGGTTCCAAACAAAAATGAAGATTTAAATTAATTTTTGTTTTTTCGATTATATTTATCGATAAAGTAAGATTTGATTTCCTTATCGTTTGATACAATGCATTATTTTATTTTCTTATTAAATATGGCATTTGATAACAATATGCTGTGCGAATTTTTCGCACGGGCCTACTAGTAACATAATTACGTATATCATCCTTCTTTTTACATTCAATTTTTCCCCATCTACAATAATCTAAAACAATTGTTACCATTTATTTACTACAGTTACTTTGTTTACTCTTTTTATATAGTATATTGTTCTGAATATTTCTATTCACACTGTTTATAATTTTAATAAGTTTATTCACATTGTTTATAATTTTTATCTAAATATTATGTAACTTCCACAATTCTCTATATGCTTTTGAATATTGTTCTTTCTAGCTGTTCTCGTTGTAGTTCTAGACCTACAAAGTCAGATCGAAATGTTGACTTGAAATAAAATATTTTTTTCTCTATTTTATTCTTTTTTATGACCGCCACCCCGGACCATCTCCTTCTTCAAAGATATACAACGGTAAACCATCAAGTATTAAATAAAATTAAAATTATTAAATTATATTTATTTTATACCTTTTGTCCTGATTTTTCTTCCAAAGTTTGAGGTCTCCATCAGGGTGATCGCTCGAAGGATTTCATATGAATGACTATTCACTAGTCATTCGTCAGTCGTCTGAAACTTTCGAGCGAATGCCCTGATGAAGGCATGATAATTAAACCGAAACGTCCACGGAGGAAAACAAATAAATATAATTTAATAATTTTTACTCTGTATTTTCATTGACTCAAAAGCACTACCAACTTCTTTAAAATACAAACAAAAACTTAATTTATAATGGCTTATTACAACAACACGTAGCCAATGAGAAATATGCATGACTTCTCGACTACTGACAGTAAAACGATCTTCTTCGTTAATTTGGTTCGTAAGATCAGAGAACAACGATAGTGAAGGTACTATTATTTTAGTATGTTCTAAAAAAAATAATAATAATAAACCTTGACAACAAATAATTTGTGTTAATAATAAACTTAAAATATTCATACCCAGTTCTAAACGATAAGACGCTTTGATCTCAGGCAAGAATCCATATCTCCAGTGAATATCCACCGACCTGCGAACATCAGGATGATTTTGAAACCTTAATTCCGGATCAGAATACTTCACTCGCCTCCTAATAGCAGGTAGGTTTGGGATCCCACAATCTGTATTCTAAAAAAAAAGTGAAAATTGATAATAATTACAGATCAGTGTATTTTTTTTCATTTTGAATTTGGTGATTCAAATAAAAGGTGATTTCAATTATTGGCCTAAACATTTTTTTTTCATCAATATTAATGACTTAAAAGAAAAATAGCATTACTTCAGTAACACATTCAAAAATCAAAAACCAAAACAATGGATATAATTTTTTCAGTAGAACATATTAAAAACATCTAGAGACCATATCTTTGCTCCTAATTGTCCGATTTTAACAAATTTTTTTTCAGTATGTTTTGTAAACTTTTAAATAACCATAAACAATAACAACAAAAAAGGCGTATAATTTTTGAATTATTCGGAATATAATTTTACCATCCCTCGTAACTTTTTTTCCAGCTTCTTTTCGTTGAAGTATGTTATATATATATATATATAGAGAGAGAGAGAGAGATTTAAAGTGCATCGAGAAGAAGACTTTAGCTTTAAGTTTTATTGAAATCGGTACATTCGTTTAGGCGCTACAGTCTATAGCAATGCAGGTTTTTCGGCCGCCATCTTGAAAGAAAAAGGCGGATGGTAATAGCCATGAAGGAAAATAATCCTCGGATGACCTCTGACTAAATCCAAAATTGAAAAAAATCGGTCAAGTAGTTTCGGATAAAATACTCGAACGGCGGACGGAAAAAAATTGTTTATTCGTTTTTAAAATTCTACGTATCCTGAAACGTAAAACCTCAAATTTTGATAGGAGGTAAAGTTTTTGATTTTTTGTTCGACGACAATGTCCATTATTGAAAATAATAAACCAAAATTATTTAACCAGCATTTACATCAAGTGTAAACTTTTTTTTTTATTATTTATTTATATAATATTTACAACTGTATACAAAAAATACATCTGGTAAATTCGCACATTGGTATAAAGACATGGAACACATGTTGAGAAACTATCCATTGTTAACACTCTAAAGTGTAAACTAAAATAGTAAATGAAGTGAACGAAATTTTCGAAATTAGAAAATGTTATGCTACATATCATGTTTATGTCTTCAATAACCTGCCTTATAAGAATCATTGAAGTAAACATTAATATTCTTTTAAAAACTATTTATTCAAGATATTTACAACTATATTACAATATAAAAACATCAAGTAAATATGTACACAAGAATATAATCACTTGTAAAAGCTCGTTGAGAAACTACCCACTGGTAGCACTATAATAATATGTCTACATTAGGAGATCACGTGGCCATCTTCTTTTCAGACGCCTCGGAGGGTTATCAGGAATCGAAGAGGAAGCAAGGTTAGAAACGAGAGGATAAGTATCTGGATTGGGCCAATTCGGAAACATATGGAACATTAATGTCAATATGGGTTATTTTATTTGTGACAAAGTAAGGAGCATTGAGGATTTTACAAATGATTTAGGATTGTAAGGATTGGATACGAGAGGAATTTTATGGTTAAGTGGAGCTCCATAGTTCAACTCCGTCAATCCAACTAGGTCTTAGTATAGTCATGTATATTAGTCTTTTGTAATTAATTGAAAGTTTAGAGCGTTTGTCTAATAAGTATTGGAGTAAGCGGAAACGTCGAGAAGTTTCTTGTCGTTTCAATCTTGTATGAGGATTCCAAGTGAGAAGTTTGTCCAGGTGGAGTTCAAGATATCGTATTTGTTCAACAGAGATAAGTGGGATGTTCTTAAAGTATAATGTAGGACAGGAAGTCGTAGGTTTACGACGAAGGGTAAAGGTGATTTCTTGGGATTTATTGGAATTAAAACATTAATTTAAGTTATTATTTTGAAGGACTAGAATACATGGATATAAGAATATAAATAATAATAGCTACAAATAATTGATAAAATAAGTGAGCTAGAATGACCTAAGTCATTTATTGAGTTCAATATTTTTCATAGGCGCCTAGGCCTAAGCGCATCTCTTTCCGCCGATTAAGTGCATTTTTTAAAGTACCCTTGCAAATATTAATGAGTGATTTAGATAGAGGAACGTATTTTCTAGATCATTTATCCTCGGACATTTTTCGTTATTGTTGCCCGTTTAATTACAAATGGCGCTTGATTGTCAGCATTAATTTGAACGACTTGAAATAATTGACTTTATTGGTATTTTTATTACCAAGGCCAATTAGTTTTTAAATTTGTTTGATGTTTTATTATTCTCTGACTATCCAGCTTTAATAAAAGACCAATTATAACTGCTGAATCTCAGTGACTGATAAATCAACTCAAATCAAAGGAATCGACCCGTCATGTTTGGATGCCGTTTTAGGACAGTGGGACCACTTTTTTTGTGTAATCTATACGTAAAGGTTGTCCAACAGAGGTATGAAGGTAAAAGATGCAAATAATCTTCGATACTTGCCCGCGAACGGTTAAAATAATGTTACTAACGATCACGGGCGGATCTACGGGGGGGAGGGCTTTCGGGCTGAAGCCCCCTCCCCCCCCCCCAAATGGAAAAATATAACCATGTTTTATGGAAAAAAATATTAAAAAATACCTCTTAAAGTATTATTGTTCGTGTAATTACATTTAAAAGTACTTAAGGAATAACTTAAACACCATTTCATATAGGTAGTTAGTTTTTTTCTGTTTTTCCAAAGTAATTATCGTTATTTTTATGAAAAAAAAGGTTTCGGGCTGAAGCCCTCCCCCCAAAATTAAATCCTGGATCCGCTAGTGCTAACGATACGTTTTGCTAATTCAATACTCACCGGTTGGGCTGGGTCGAAGCACCTCAGAACTTGCCTCCGGTTGGTGTAAGCATTGGGCGCTCCTCCACCGGGCAAACCGAATGGCCAGTATACTGGCTGCAGGGAGTTCTGCCACCAAGAAAACGGATTAGTATTCGTAATTTTTCAATTAAACACCACATTCAGACTATGAAAAATATTACAAAACATTCATGTTTAAAATCAAAAACATAATAAAAATATAACAAAAATGGAAATCCATCGACGAGCTGAAATAATAAAGGTATCAAATGATTTAGAAAATATTTTATAGTTGTGGATTACTACTATAATCTGTATTAAACTGATAACAGGATCGCGGTGAACATCAATATATTTATAACCTAATAAATATATACATCACCTAATATTAAATACCTATTGAAATCCAGAAAATTTTTTAAAAAACTTAGCTGGAATTGTTCAAGATGAATTATAATTTATGTTGGTATTTGCGGTTCCTGGTGAGAAAAAGCATAATAGAAAGAAGAATGAGAAGATTTGTGAGATTTTACGTTATCCTAAACGATCTGAGGTCAGAACATAAATCTATGAAGTGGGTATGTTTGAAAAATATCGATATATCAAAATTGAAATATCTCGATATTTTCTCTGGTATTTTTATTTCCATATATCGTAGTATCGATGTAAAAATTTTATTCCCAAAAAAGGATATGTTCCACACCAAAAAAATTAATTAAAAAAAAAAAGCCGGTACATCTTTTTTATTCCATTTTTGGTTTATACATATGGTGAAACATAAAACATCCAATTTTGAGGGAAGGGAGGGTGGAGGTAACTTTTTGAATTTTTCGATGGATTAAAATGGTTCATTGTTCAAAATAATAAATCACTAAGATTAAATCCAAAACTTTACAAATATTGTTTTGTTTTTTTCATAGTTATTTATTTTTACTTTCATAACGCTAATAGGTAAGGGAAATATTGTAATTGGGCCAAATTTCTTATCTGCGGATTTCTACGGATCTTAGCGTTTCAGAGTCCATCGGTCTGGAAACACATATTCAGCCATTGGCCTATCTATCTCATTTTTTTTTTGTTGCTACGATGAAAATGTTAACAAGTGTAGGGGGTCAACGATTATTAATTTGATTTCAAATTTATAAATTTGTTTTATGAATATATTTGTGATCAGTTATCTGATATTGATACCAGTTAGTTAGTTATTTTTTTACCATATGCATCAGGATAATTTAAACATTCTTTTTTTTTATTGATGATATTTACAACTGTATTATAAATAAAAATACATTCAATAAATGTGAATAAAAGAATATAATAACATGAAACCACTTGTTGATAAGCTACCCATTGGTAGTACTCTAATAATAAGTCTACGTGAGGAGATATACGAGGCCATCTTCTTTTCAGACGCCTCGGAGGGTTGTCAGGGATCAAAGAGGAAGCAAGGTTAGAAACGAGAGGGTTTGGATGGTTCTGAAGTTTGTTATGGAAGAATAGGTATCAGGATTGGGCCAGGTCAGAAACATAAGGAACATTAAGGTAGTAATGGATGATTTTATTTGTGACAAAGTAAGGAGCAGCAATGATTTTACGAAGGATTTTGGATTTTAAGGATTGGATACGAGAGGAATTCGATGGCTTGGTGGAGCCCCAGAGCTCAACTCCATAAGTCCAAATAGGTCTTGTTGTAGTCATGTATATGAATCTTTTGTAATTGACAGGAAGCTTAAAACGTTTGTCTAGTAAGTGCTGGAGTAGTCGGAAACGTCGAGCTGTTTCTTGTCGTTTCAGTCTGGTATGAGGATTCCAAGCTAGACGTTTGTCTAAGTGGAGTCTAAGGTATCGGGTTTGTTCAACAGGGATAAGTGGGGTAATATTAAACGATACTGTAGGACAGGAGAACATAGGTTTACGACGAAGGGTAAAGGTGATTTGATGGGATTTATTGGAATTTATTTTAATCCTCAAGTTTTGACACCATTCTTCAAGATTTGTGATGTCTGATTGAAGTTTGAGCTGTATAAACTGTGTAAAGGATAGGACCTAGGATACTACCTTGAGAGACACCGGCGGACTGGGACAGAAGGGATGAATAGGCATTCTTCTGATTTATTTTGAAGCATCTATCAGTTAGATAGGGACGGATAATGAGGAATTTCGGTATAGAAATTTACGGAGTTCGTAAAGCAGTCCCAGACTCGATCAAACGCCTGTTCTACGTCGAGAAAGATTCCAGTGCAGTACATTCCGCGCTCCAATGCAGAGGAGGCAACATCCACCACACGATGGCATTGCTGGATAATGGAATGGGATCTGCGGAATCCAAATTGATGATCTGTGATAATGTGATTGGAATCTAGGATGGTGTACAGGCGATAATTGAAACTAAAAATTAATTTACCTTGATCATTTCGTCTTTTTTTCTTATATCGTCATGAGCTTTTTTCCTCCTCCAAATTTCTTCTCCTACCTCTCTATTCCATCTTCCTCTGTCGGAAGGTGGAAGAGTCATCATTGTATCATCCATCTTTACAATAAAAAAATATATATATATATATATATAATAAGGAAGTTATTTATCATACATAGAATAAAAAAAAATAAATATAATTTACTTTTTTGTAGGAGCAGGTTGGGTAGGGATGGTCATAGTCGATATTATCGAAATGTCAGTATTGCCTTTCCAATATTCGATATTTTACCATCGATAGGGTCTACTTCGATATTATCAACTATCGATATCGTCCCTTCGATAAAATATTTGAAGATCAAAAGTAAAAAGTTAGAAAAAAAAATCATACTTATCTTGCTTGTAATGTAGTGCGTATAGAAGCAAACATATTTTTTTTAATTTATTGAATGATATAACATTGTGTCACTTGGACATGTATATATAATTAACATTTATTGGCAACTGCAGTGTTCAAGCCGCTTCAGATAGGATAAAGTCTAAATTGTTGTTTGAGCACAGTTTTACGGGATTTGAATTTTTGAGAGGGGTACATTCCGACGGGGTTATGAATTTTCGGAGTGAGCCATATTTTCAATATGGGTTTCAATCTGGAGAAATTTTCAAATCATTAGAAATCAGTGAGTATAAGACCAACATTTTTTCTCATTCTACTTTCTCTTGTTTTTAAGAAGAAGAGAGGAATAATTTTTTTTTAAAGGGGGAAAGTGTGCTATAGATCTTGGGGAAATGAGAACCCTTGACAGGAGTTGAGGTGATGAATGTAAAACTTATTTGTTGAAATATCAAACAGGCACACCGGATACAATAATACTATTTTCATTTCATTTTAAGGATGAATTGATATTTTACATAAAGAATTAATTATAATTTGAAAAATAAAATCATTCATATAAATTACAAAACAATGTTGGCGCAAGCGCATTGATTGTGCAGTTTGCGCATGTCATTTCATGCAAAAAGTAACTTAAGACATTGTAATTATTTCAATAAAATTTTAATAACTTGATTACTTTTGTTCAGGTTCATTCAGATCATTCAAATAACGTATTTTTCATTTATTTGAGGTAGTTTTTTTTAAACATAAAATTGGAACAATAATATATATATAAACGCATATGATAACACGATACATACATGAAAAAAAACATAATTTTGTTTTTTTGGAGTGTTACAACTAACAAGTTAGTATGTTATCATCAGCACTACAGTTTTTATTTAGAGAAATGAAATCAAACATGAAATATAATTTAAAATTAGTTACCTTTTATGAAATCAGTTATAATCTTCCTGCCTATATCGGCATTGAAACTATTCTGAAACGGGTCGTGCTTAGTAACTGGGTCAATACGAAAACGTAGGGCATCGAACCGTCCCATCTCCATTTCTTTCCTGATTTCATCTTCTCACCCATTTAGCAGCTTAAATATGTAAAGATATGACTATAAATACATATTTTATTTCAACTATAAGTCATTTACAAAGTTATATAAATATCTATATTTTCGTGACAACCGCAAACAACTTAAAAGATAAATATTATTACTGGACAGAAACATACTTTCATGAAGACATTTAATGAAATCAGTTCCATCCATTTCTACGACACTGAAACATCATAAACCTTTATCAGTTTTTGCTATCGAACTTAGTTCCATCCTTTCTAAAATTTAATTCAGTTATTTCATTTATTTATACGTCACCCCCTTAATAAAATTATCATTAGTTTTTGCTATTATTAAAACTTCGTAATTCAAAACATGCATTAACCGTTCCATCAATTTAATAAAATATACACCTCCAGCTTATAAAGTTATAACAGGATGTTGGCTATGTTATATTTTCAAAAAGCATATCAAATCTAAGTTACATACAACTGAATAGAATAAGAATATCTAGGAATGAAAAAAAAAATACATACATCTCTGACTTGACAGAAAACCAATGCAACACAAAAATTGTGTTTATAATCAAGACGATAAGCCAAAGTTGGAAACATTTTAATTACGAGGATTTTCTGATTTCTTCCAAACTAATCCATACACTATTATACTGTTTATTTATCTAATTTTGAAATACGTGTTTAAGGTATTTTCTTCAATTGTTAAACCAAGAATATGTTGCTAGTTTATAAAAAACAAAGTCAATACTTCTCTTCTTTCTTCAAAACCATAACGCAATGGCGGTTTATTTTTGCAAAATTCTTCTGTTAACAAGCCAGGAGTTAGGAAGCATAAGATTACAGTATAAATATATTTTATAGTTATTTTTAAATGTTTTTATAAATTTAAAAATTTTGAAGAATAGAAGTAATACAAAAAAGAAGATTTATAAAAATATGCCTTATGAATTTGAAACATATAAATCATGGAGGCTCAAGCAGTGTGCTGTTGATGTTTTTATCTCTGACGTGTCTTAGCCGCTAGTCTGTTAATTTTTAGGTTTAAAGTTTAAAGACATTTAGTTTTTAAGCGTGCTAGTAAGGTGCATCAAAATGATTCAAAGCGCATTAGATGAATTACGGCGAATGAACAAACGCCAGGTACTAATATTTTCCGATTCTCTACATGTCTTAGAATGAACTCAGCTATTTTTTTTTTGATTTACAATTGTAACTATTAATTCAATTACTCTAGTGTCATACTAAGACGCCCTGTATTTTTTAGTTCATTTACCAATGCCTCAGTTTTGGAATGATTGTATCATCAGCCCTAATGATATGGAAAGGTTTGATGGTAGTCACAGGTAGTGAAAGCCCAATTGTTGTAGTTTTAAGGTAAGTTTTATTTAAAAACATTCCGTTTCTGTTAGTTTAATTATTATTTTAAGAATATTAAATGGAGTGTTGGAATTCCTTAAATACTTTCTTTGACTGGAGTCTACTAAGTCATATTGTACTTAAAAAACTTTTATTGAGATCTAATTATGTTATCTCCACACTCCCCTTGATATTCCTGATCCAACTCATGAAATAATTTGTCAATTTTTTAATTACTGAAGAAACGTTTTACTACATCGCTATTTGATGGAACAACCATTAATAAAATTATTCTCTATTAAACAAAATGTAAATAAAGGAATGTAGTAAAAAAAAAGGATTTTCCTATTTATTAAGTGCAATCTCTTAATTTGCATAACATATGGTTGTCATCAGTTATATTCTCTGCAACTATTTAAAACTGTTACCAACTCATTCAACAAGTTGGTTAAAATTTATTTATTGATTAATTTATTGTTTTTACTTTAGTGATGCTAGATTAATTGTTAATCATTTATTTTAGTGGTAGTATGGAACCTGCATTTCACAGAGGAGATCTGTTATTCCTCACCAATTTTGAATCGGATCCTGTTCGAGTCGGAGAAATTGTAGTTTTTAAAGTTGAAGGAAGGGACATTCCTATTGTACATCGAGTTGTCAAGCTTCATGAGGGGTAAGTTATTTCCATATCCAGTTATAAAAATACAAAAGATGCTACTCATATATGATAAGTACCACCGTAATATGATTGATACAGACAAGATCACATTTTCACACTGTTCATGAAATAATGCAGCTATCTGAGTGATTTCATCACAGGTTAGATTTCATTTTTGATAATTTAATCTGTATAATCTTATGTACTACTTTAAAAGTTACTTTAAAACTGGAGATATAAATACATTCTAATTATTTTTGTAACCAAACATTAAAAAAGTAGGCAATACAAAAAGATATATTAATATAAACACACCTTTATAGCAGTGGACACTAATTAATAAAATATAATTTGATACATTTAATAATAACGTATTTTAGAAATACATCTTCAATAATATTTATGCCAAAACTGGTAACAATATTATCAAATTATATTCAAAACTTTATTAATGATTGGACAAAGATAAGATAATGTCAGAATTTTAATAACAACTACTAAAAGATTAGGCATTACTTTATAAGTGTTACTACACTTTGATGGATTGTTACAAGATGATTAAACATAGACAAATAATTACAACAAAATTACTACTTCTCAAGTAACACTCAAACATGGAGCTGAACCAAAAATTGTAGATGAAATTTTGGGAATAATTGTGTCCGAACATAGGCAGAGGTGACTGAACTGTCTGGTAATGCCACAACTTCAACTGCAATTTAAATCTTTTGAGTAAATATTGAATATATTGAATGGAAGTTGAAAATAGCTGTAGTATAAGACTGTAACCTCTATATATAAATTATAATATAATCGATTACACATGTTAATTAGATAAAGACAAGACAGATGGTATATTTTGTAATAAATAATAAAACACACCTACGTTTGCTCTAAAGGTATTTTTATTAATTAATTATACATATTACATGGTGTCAGGTGAAATACCTACAAATTGAAAATGAATAATTCTAATTTGCGGCTGCAATCTCTTCAATTTGACAAGAACATTGCAACGAAGTGGCCAAAATGGAAACAGGCCTTCATTCTCTATTTAAAGGCTATAGAGAAGTATAAATCTACAGATGAGGAATTGAAAATAGCTCTTCTATTAACACAAATGGGTGAGGAAGCCATAGAAATACATTCTACATTCCAAGGTAAGAAAGATACTTTAGAAGCTCCATTCTTTGGCGCACATCATCGTCTGGTATTTTGGGAATAAGGAGATCAATGCTTGCTGGCGCCCTGGTTCGCAGTCTTCGACCCATCAACAGTTGGGTTGGAGAATACTCGAGCCCAGAAAGGGGAGTTGTTCGGTATTCTAGAATGGCTTCATAAATGTCTCTTCCTGAATAAGAGACTTTCTTTATCATTTTCTTCGCAACACCTATCCCTTTCTCCGAGAGACCATTAGATCTAGGGTAGTGAGGACTAGATGTACAAATTTTAAATCCCCAATGTTTGGCAAAAGCTGCCATTTCTGCACTACTGAACGGGTTGTTATCACAACGTACAATTTCAGGCGTGCCATGATTGCAAAAAAGAATTTTTAGTTTTTTTATAATTTCAGTGGATGTTTTATTCTTGAGCGGTATAATATCCAACCATCTTGAGTAATAATCTTCTACAGCCAGAAAAAATTTCGAATTACACTCGCCTATGTCCATACCAATAACTTGAAACGGAAATTTAGGAATTTCAGATGTTATAAGAGGTTCTTTAGGTTCATTGTTTTGGAAGGTTTGACACGTGGAACATGTATTTATGAAGTTTGTAATGTATTCGGACATATTTGGCCAATACATAAGGCTCTTAATGCGGGAAACGGTTTTGTTTATTCCAAGATGAGCTTTAGAATGAATTTGGCTTACGAAGTGACGTCGGAGACTCGGTGGTATAATAATTCTATCATTATAAAATAAAATTCCTCTATTTTCTGAAAGTTCGTCTCGGAGCCCATAAAAAACCTTTATTTCACGTTCCAAACAATTTTTATGAAATCCTTCCCAAGCATTCCTGATACAATTTCTAAGTTCACTGAAATCATCCCTGGTGGCTTCTTGCAAGATTTTTATATCCTCTGATGGCACCGGCAACAATTCTTCTAGCGTAATGGCATGAACCACCTGAGAAAAGTCTACGTCTTCTGGTCCCTCTTCTTCAAGAAAGGCTCTTGATAGCATGTCCGCTATATACATTTTTGAGCTTGGTATATAGGATAATAAAAATTTATATTTTAATAGCTTCAGTTGCATTCTTTGGAGTCTTGAAGAATTTTTATACAGCTCCTTATTGAGCACTGCTAACAACGGTTTATGATCCGTGAAAATCTCAACATTATTATGACCGTAAATAAAGTGATGAAATCTATTGACCGAGAAGCATAAGCTAAGCATCTCCTCTATCTGACTGTAATTCTTTTCTGAGTCATTAAGACTTCTTGAGGCAAATACGACTGGTTGCCCGTTTTGGATAAAGGGAGGTAATACTGGCAAACATATTATCAATACTCACCCTTTCTCAGAATTCCATTTATAGTGTTATTATGATATTTTCTGCTCACCTAATAAAGTGTTAGTTTGCTAGTAATAAATGTTAACTCAATAAAAATGACATAAGTTCCAAATTTGTTGAGTATTGGGATAACTTAAAGTCACTTCAATCTGTCTAATTATTATAAAAAAACCCATTATGCATTTTTTTGTTTCATGAAAAAATAGTTCATATTTTCTTGAGAGAATACACATACACTGTTACATTATTTACTTCTGTCATAAGCAAGAAAGCTTGGTTATGAAGAATTATCTCAACAGATTTTCTGTTAAATATAAAAAAAACAAAATTGGTTATTGTGTTTTCATTAAATTTATTGAATTGTACAAATATCTATAATTGAATGTCTTGGGATATCATTCTCATGTTTCTCTTTAATTTGGAGCTGGACCAAGAATAGTAGGTAGAATTCAGAAGTGGCTGAATATGTCTAAAAGTATAACGAGGTGGCCAATCCCCTTGACAAAGCTTCAATCACAACTGAAAAGGAGCCATTGGAGGTTCGTTAACAGTAATAATTTTAATAACAACTATTAATTACCTCCAACTCCAATACTCCTTAAAATTCCAAAAAAATTAATAATCACTATTAACTTTTCTTCATAATCATGATCATCATTATCAATACTCGATCATTTTCATAATTTTTTCCCCAGTGTGTTCGATCTTAGTCCACTTTCCATGTTAAAATGACACTTTGAAATTTTATCATAACATATTCTTAGGAATAAATGTTCTTAAGTTTTATAGTTTGGCTTTTAGATATTTTTTGTTACAGTGGTAATTATATGAATTAATAAATGAATATGTATATAAAAATAAATTATATAAATGTTTTTTAAATATATTTTGCACATTCGATTCTGCAAAAGTAAAAAAAAAGTTGCGAATTGCGTGGCTCAGTATGTCAGTGTCTTATCCCAGTCCCATCTCGAGTCTGGTTGTAGTAGGTAATTATATATTCTTTTACATCAGTCATGGATTGGATTGGATCAGTCCTGGTATGTTAGGAGACTACTCTAGGGCAAACCCAATCTTCATAAATTTGATACTCTGAATTAAATAAGTAATGAAGGGGAGAAACCGTTGATCATGAGCTCAGTCAAATCATCCTCTAGCCTAACTTTTGACCTGGAAATCCTTTAACAATACTAAACGCAAGACCCTCCATGAGTTGTAGTGGTACAAGTTTAGAGGTAACTTACATTTCATTTTGCATTTTTTGTTTCTTGAAAAAGTAAATTTCTGCACATCTATTACTACTCTATATCTTTAAAAACAATATTTTGTCTATCAAGATCAATAAGAAATTTGCGCTTTGAAAATTTCAAAACTTCATTGTTTTAGAATTAGCTTGGTCATTTAATTAATTAGGTTAATCTATAACTTCCTGATTATTGATCAGATAGGTTTCAATGTTTTTTTAGAACTGTTCTATATAAACAATGAATGCAGTCTGGTCTTGCAAATCCTAATCAAGTGTTTATAACTTTATTTGTGTAAATTTGTGCTATTTATTTGTTGAAACTTTCAATTTAGTAACAATATCTTGTGGATTTATTCAATTTATATTTATATTTCAGGAGAAATGGAACTGTTAAATTTTTAACGAAAGGTGACAATAACTCAGTAGATGATCGAGGACTGTATGCACCAGGCCAACTATGGCTAACTTCCAAAGATATGGTCGGTCGAGCTAGAGGTTTTCTCCCGCATGTTGGAATGGTCACTATCTACATGAATGAGTATCCTAAATTCAAGGTAAGTTATGTTTATTTAAGTGACATATTTACTAGGACGGAGTTCTTTCAACCTTTGTGTGCCTTTGATCCGTCAGATTTTTTAAAGAATATTTTAATGTATTTTTTAATTTTGAGCTGATTCAAATATTTTTGTGGTTTTAGAGTATTGTATTACCTGTATATTTTGTTTTTTCGTGTATTGGATTGGCAAGAAAATGTTTTCAGTCATAATTGAATGGGTGAGTGCAGAAATCACTTCAGTCACAAAATTTCAGGAGAGAGAAAAAATGTCTTAACTCCTCCGAATGTTCAAATATTTGAACTTTATTTTTTCCTCTATCATAACATGCATTTATGTTTCTGTCATGCAAAAATTATCTAATTTTGACATAAATTAGGCTCAGGAAAATTAAAAATTTGATTCGGACTTATGCTATTTCTGCACTCAACTGTTTTTTACAGACAGCTGAATACTTGAAGAAAGGTAACCAATCATTAAAAGTTTATATTTTTTAATTAACAATTTATTTTACTATTTAATGGGGTGATGGATGCAACAACAAAAAAAAAAAAGCTTGGTAATTTATATTATGTACAAACATTACGAGTGATAATTAACATAACATATTAAAAAATGACGATTATAATATTATTTACAAAAAACAAAATTATACACATAGTAAATATAGTTTTTAAAAATAAATATATATATTTTTTAATAAATAAGAGTATTCATTAAGAAGATTGTGTGGAAATATTTCTATTCACTTCTATAAATTTAAGCATATTCATTTTGATAAACGTCAATACTGCCATATTCACTTTTACAATCGTGAATATGGCCGTATTTATATTTACAGCCCTGAATATGTATCATCTGTATTCATGTTTCTTTTTATGAATATAAATATATTTATAAGTGGTATTCACATTTATATTTTGATATAAATATGCCCATCTCTACTGGTCAAGCGATCCAGCGATGAGTGCAGAAACCACAACAGTCACTGACTCATGTTATTTCTGCGCTCAGTGATCGAAAACACGTCATGTGTTTACGGAACTACTCAACAGATTAACATGGTTCTTACACTCAACACGTATCTTGTCTTGCTTCTTTTCATTGAAAACAATTTTTCACATTTTTTTGACAAAGTGGTTTCTGCATTCACCGATTTAATTGTTATAGTGTTTTTTTCTTTTAATATCACTGGTGACAAAAACTGGTTTATTTGTCGTCCATGGTAACTTATTTGGTGTCATTTCATAATCCGAGCAACCACAGCATTGAACCAGTGCAAACCACTTCTAAAGCTGAATAGTAAAAAAAAAAGGTTGTGTCAGTTTAATATTACTCTATATGATTGTTGAAGAAATAAAAACTGCTGGAAAAGAAAAAATATAAGAAACATATTAAGTTTTTAAAACTGTAACTGTTGGAAATTACTGTTCAAGCAGTGAATGAAGATTTCGGTACCCTATTTGATTCTTTCAACTATGTTTTATGACATAATGAATGATTAAATGAATAAATCAAATTAAGATTCCTTCAAGAATTCAGTAAACAAAATTGTCCTTTCTTCCGTCCTTTGGACGGAAAAAAGGTGCATGATACTAAATATAATCTTTATAAACAGAATATTTAGAAATTATCAGTAGATTAGTTAGTAAATATTTTTAATTCTAGATGATTTTAGTAAATAGCTGAATTATTAAACAATTATACTATATGTTTGTGTAATATTTTTTTTTTTTTAATTTCAGTGTGCTGTTTTGGCGGCATTAGGATTGTATGTTCTTGTACATCGGGAATAGCGTAACACTTCCATGTTAGGCCCTTTAAACATCAAAACACTCCAGAAGCTTGTCTTCTTTACTTGGCTATATTCACTGAAGTTGAGTTCTTTCATTAATAATAAGATTGTGTTAACTTTTAAAAGGAAGAAGTTTCTTCAGATCGTAAACTTGCACAAATTAATTTATATTATATTTAACTGTTTGCGTTAAAATCATGTCAGGATGGAATACTATTCATTGTGGTAGCTATTCCATTACAAATAATGAGAATTGTTTTGGTTATAATTTTAAAGATCGTTTTTAAAAACGTACAAGCATCATCTGATTCTGTATAGTTAGATAAGTCAGCATTTAACTGTAGCTTATCTAATCTATCCAAATTATGAAATTGTAATATATTGTTTTAGTCTAGTTTTGCTATCCATGTAGTTTACGTATTTTTTTTCTTTTAAATAAAAAATTGGAAATCATAATCCTTTTATTGTCATTAATGTTTGCATGGATACCATAACTGACTAAATATTGCGAGTTTTTAATGGGTTTGTTATATTTCATGTAATTTTATTTAATTAAGAAGTTTAATTAAAGCTGAACATGAATTTATAAAAAAAAAAAAAAACTGTCTTCTTGATTTCATAAAATTTATTGAAATGTATATATAGTGATTTTGTATAGATGTGAATGATAATTCATATTTAATTATAAACAAAGGGTAATAGGCCCAATATGACCAATGTCGTCATCACCAATGTTTGTCATTTCTCGAATTCTTATCATAACCATTTAACAATGTTTCAAATTCGTATCAAGTTGTTAAAAATATTTTTATTTGAAGATTATATTTAAAATTTTATTTTTTATGTAAAATAAATCAATATCAAAAGTTATTTATTTATTTATTTCAACTATAATGTGGTATAAATGTTTGTTTTCTTTATAAATGTCATTTCTATTTATGAGTAAATAAAAGGTCATGCATTTAATTACAAGTAACATTTAATGTCAAAATGTTTGTTCTTTGTTTAACAAGGATGTTTTGTTACCCCCCAAATAAATAAAAGCTGAATGGAAATACATTTATCGTGTAGATTTTTGTTCCTTATAACATTCCTTATCCTTTTCTATTAAGTATTGGACGCTTAAAAAGGTCATACCAAAAATCATTGGAAACATTTTTTTTTTCATTTATGTCTTTTATATTTATCTAAAAACAACACTTCCCCCTCGATAAAAAAAAATTTGTTTAATTAAAATTACTCATACATTATTGTTGGTGCTTTAAAAGTGCATATACAAATAAAACTCATAATTTTTAGATATTAATACCAACTAATTAACAACCTTCAATTTGTGTTGCATACTTTTATTTGAAAATATGATATTTAAATAAACAGTTTCTTTTAGGCACAAAAAAAGGAAGAACAGATTAAAAAACTAATGTCACAAATAATTTTTGAAGGAAATAACCAAAAGGAGGCCATGTTTTTATGAGATACTAATTGTTTTTTAGTTCTTATTTGCTCCCAATACCAGTTAAGACAATATAATTACAACTTGGTTATAAGAATATTAAATGAAGAAAAAGGCAAATATTTAGAACAGCCATAAAAAAAATTTAACACTTGTGTATAAAAAATTTTGGTTGCCTTCCGTTTTATAAGTAGTTATTTTGAGATTTCCTAACATATGATCTCTAACGTAACATCCTGAGAATCGCCCAACTTCTACAATGATAAAGAATAATGCTCAAAGAGTTGTTGAAATAATCCCCCCACCCCTCCCCACTAGTCTTTTTAACAAATTGAGAAAATCTTGTATCTTTTAGAATACACTACTTGGCAGATACACACTTTAAAATATATATATATATATTTCAGCTACATATATCTAACTGATTAGGAATCGACTTAAATATACATTTTGTTATGAGGTCGCGGTTTTAATTAAAAGCTAATTTGAATAATTAACTTGAATTTAATATTATTTCTAAATCTTGAATAAACAACTACTTGATCACAATTAGTTCACTGTCTACTAACGGAATTACCTTAAATTCTAAAATTTTGCCAATAAAATACTAAAATTCTGTAAATAGTTCACTGTTGATTAAATAAATTTTATTTGTCTCCTTTTTAGCAAATTGTTTTGTAGGGCAAAATAACTTTTTAGTAAGTATTCATTATAGATATATATATCATAAACTGAAATGGAATTTTAAAATGTGGTTATTTCTTGTTGTTGGTAGGCACCTTTGTTTGTTACAGTTGTTGATATAATAATAATATTACGACACAGAAATAATTGTTTACAAACAAAATTAATTATAACGTCAACCTAAATGAATAATCCTTAGTTTCTGTTAATTAATTTATGAGTCACATTGAATGAAGCGAAATGGTAAAAATCGTAAATTAAAGTTTAATAGGTATTACCTACTTTGTATAAAAAGTTACATTGAATACAAGTTAGAACATATTTATTTATTAACATTAATGAAATTTGTGATTAACACTTTAAAAATAGGTTAAAGTTTTTATTTTATCTATTTTTTTTATGACAAAAACATTTGATTCATTGATAAATAAAATAACCAATTCAAAAGTCCTAAATTTGTGTCTTGAAAACACTTCTACGACTTGGGTCCAGTGATCAAGTCTTTAGCAGACAATAGCCATTCATGTAGAATTCCTGGTTTTTTTTTTGTATCCTCATTTACATCAGTTCTATCATCATCTATTGCTTTCTTGATAAAAATGTATACCGATTCATGGCTACTTGTTTGTTTTATTTTTACATTTCCGAAAGTATGCTTTTCCTTATTTTCTGAACATTTAAAATCATTTTCTGCACCTTTCTTATACTGAGTGTAAGTTCTATGACCCGAATATTTTTTTATTCTATTTTTGAATTTTCCTTTCTTTTCCACACTTGTGTCACTTGATCTTCCAAAAACTTCACATTTTTTTACTCTATTTTTTAATTTTACTTTCTTTTCCGTGCTTGTATCACTCGATCTTCCAAACACTACACCTTTTTTTGAACTATAGATATTTTTTGATCCGGAACTGCTTGATTTTGAAATTTTAAAGGTTTGAGTTCTTTTATGTTTCCTTCTAATGGAATCATTGCATATAATATCAGGTTTATTTAGTTGCTGACCATTTTTTCTTCTTAGTTGTTGTTTTCGTTTGTTCACATCATTAATATCTTTGAAATTATCTGGTAAAAAATCTAAATCTACTTTTAATGGAGTTAAGATATCTCTCTTCTTGGTTAATTTTTCATCATTGCTTCTTCTTTTTCTTTTTTTTTCTTTCTGCTGTATATGACATAATTTTCTACAAGTCACATTGTTGCCAACTTCATCACAATCACTTATAGATGTTATAGAGCTCTGACTATATGAATATTCACTATCATTTTCCATAGCAATTTTAACATCTGATTTTTCTATTTTGAAATGATTTTTTTTTTTTCTAACTGAACGATAATCATTATTTATAATTTTATGAGAAAAATCTTTTGATAGTTCCTTTTTTTTAGTCCTTCTTACTTTATCTTCTTTGTTAATAGTTTTTAGTAGTTTAGATTTGTTAATTATATTTGAATAGTCTCTATTATCAAAATCATTTTTGTATTTTAAATACATGTTTTTAAATCCTGCTATAATGCTTTTTGCAAAAGTTTCTGAGGATCTAGGACGATCAATACTTTCTTTTAACTTCATTCCCTGTCTTGTTTCTTTCTTGGAACCTTCCGAATTAACAAATTGGTTACTATTTATTTCTGTTATTTTTTTCTTTATTGTGTCCATCGATTTTGTATACAATGAAAAGTTTTCATGTACATTAGTAACACGTCCACCATCATTTTGTATCTTACTTCTATTCATAACTTGTTGAGTGAAGTTACTTTCCAGATCGGAAAAGAGGTTAACTTTATTTTTTCTGTGAATTTTTTTTTTCATAATTCCTACATTCACATTCTCTTTGACTGGTCCATCCTGAGGATTAGAGTCAACAGATTTAAAAGGAATGGTTTCAGCTGAAGGGGTGAATTCTATACTATAATCATCATAAGGCCATCCTATTTTATCTTTGATTGTTTCACATATATTATTTTTCACTTCAGTGGCAGAACTAGAAATTTTCTTTGAAGAGGTAGCTTGGCTAACTAAGTCCTTCTCTATTGAACTCTCTTCTTTCTCAACCTCGGTTGTTTCAAATAGTGATGTAAATTCCTCCCTATTTTGTACAACAGAATTACGGAGCCACTGAACAACAGAGTCAATGATATTCCTTCTGCCTAACACAGGCTCAACATATCTTTTTTCACCCCAATTTATGATTTTATTTTTGTCACAAATCATTTTTTTATTACGTGCAGGAACTTCAGTTTTCCCCAAATATGTATTTTTTTCCATTCCATCTTTTCTCTTGTTCTGTTCATTATAAGTAGGTTTTTTGACTTTATTTGGTGGTTTAAAGTGAAAACGAATACACAATTTCTCAGTTTTCTTATGTGAAATTTTAGGACATGGATATAATATTTCTTTAAAATAATCAGAACCATTGACATGATAAATTTTTCTATTACCAATTTTGTAAATTTTATGATTATATCTTATTAATGGAAAGCCATCCTGGCCAGATAATTGTCGAAATTCATTCATCTGATAACAAAATAACTTCAATTAATTTGATATTTAATAATACGGATAAAAATAATTGATTTTCATAATATTATTTTCTATGAAAAAGGAATAAATGGAATATTTAAAAAGCAAGTGGTTATAACAATTAAATTAGTTTTCTAACCTGAATGATTCTATAATATATTTAAGCCTGGAAATTTAAAATAAATTATGTTCTACTCTACTTAAATCATTTCCCATACAACTTAAATTTTCTACCAGACAAATCAAATATTTGCAAAATAAATAAAATGTTTAGAAGATAAATTACTATTTTGTCCAACAAAATAAATTGTTTTACAATCATTATTATCCTTTTAAAATAGAATCTTTCATTGTAAAAGAAAAATAATAATAAATAATAATTTTAGCTTTTTATTTAATAACAAAAAAATCTGATGTGCATGCATCCATAACTTTCACTTATCAATCTTGGATTAGATAGATATTTTCATATACAGAGAAGTTAAAGTGAAGACAACGGTATAACTTCATTTAAAACAATTAATTACTATGTGTTTACCGTCCATCGAGTCTGTTAAATTTATACAATTGCATCACTTTTCATTTCCTTTTATGACTGAGTCTAGTACCTAACCATACTAATGATGGTGGGAAAAATAGGTCTTTTGAAAAAATTCTGAATTCTATTAGAAACATTTATCACAAAACTTGTCGAAAAAATAACTTAGTAGATTTTCAACATTTTGCAAGAAAATCATTTTAGAAAGTTGTGGATAAGAGATATATTAAGGTGCGTTTAGACATTTCACAAGCAAATATATAAATGCTTATTTCATTATGCTAGTATTTTTGTTTCTTGTTTTTGATATTTTTCCTCTGCTGTCAGTATCAAGGGAAATAAAATTAATGGTTTGGTTTAGTAATAATGTTGCTGTTAGTTAAGATAGATAATTGTGTTTCTCATAGTTTGTGAAATGTCTAAATGCACCGTAAAAGTTAAACTAACATTATGAAAGCCATGTATAGAGGAGTATATCTGGTATCTGTAAAGGGAGAGGATCGCCTAAGGTCAGATGCTCTCGACTGTTTCCGTATTGCTTCCAAGCCTTATTTATCTTTCAGTTACCAATTGATTCTCTTCATTCATTATATTTAACCATTTATTAGTTTACAACGTAAAATGGTTAATTATTTTAAATAAAAAAAATTAAAGGAAAAGATTTTGAAAATTAGACATTTAAACTCTGTTAGAGAACATCAATGATAATAAGACCTACATTATATTTAAAACTTCTTAATTTTACACTGATATAATTTATATATAATGTAATCGAAATCATTAAAGCCATTTTTGAGAATATAGTCAAAATGTGTTAAACTGGTGATATAAAATGGCACTTCCCGTTACCCTA